CACCCCCCTCACACGTTTCGTGGCCCCATTCGGCAGGTGATAGCTCCACCGAAGGCCCCAGTGCTGCCGCCCGCACGCGTCCCTCACACCCAATTCGGCACACCCCTCACACGTTTCGTGGCCCATAGGGAGCCTGACCGAAGGCCCCACTGCTGCCGCCCGCATTGCGTCACGCACACTCAATTCGGCCACCCCTTCACACGCTTCGTGGACCCCATAGGAAGCTCCACCGAAGGCCCCAGTGCTGCCGCCCGCATGCGTCACGCACACCCAATTCGGCACACCCCTCACACGTTTCGTGGCCCCAAAGGGAGCTCCACCGAAGACCCCAGCGGCGGCGCTCACATGCGCATGCGTCCCGCACACCCATTTCGGCACATCCCTCACAGGTTTCGTGGCCCCATCATCCACCGGAGGCCCCAGTGGCGGCGCTCACAGGCGTCACCCACACCCACCCAATTCGGCACACCCCTCACACGTTTCGTGGCCCCATAGGGAGCTCCACCGAAGGCCCCAGCGGCCGCGCTCACATGCGTCCCCGCCACCCATCCCGGCACGCCCCTCACAACAACAGGTTTCGTGGCCCCATGGGGAGCTCCACCGAAGGCCCCAGTGCTGCCGCCCGCATGCGTCACCACCCGCACCCAATTCGGCACACCCCTCACACGTTTCGTGGCCCCATAGGGAGCTGCACCGAAGGCCCCAGTGGCGGCGCTCACATGCGTCCCCGCCACACATCCCAGTACACCCCTCACGCGCTTCGTGGCCCCATAGGGAGCTCCACCGAAGGCCCCAGTAGCGGCGCTTACATGCGTCTCTGCCACCCATCCCGGCACCCCCCCCGCAGCAGCATCATGTTTCGGGGACCCATAGGGAGCTCCACTGGAGGCCCCAGTGGCGGCCCCCACATGCGTTTCCGCCACCCATATCGGCACGCCCCGCGCGTGTTTCATGTCCCCATCGGGAGCTTCACCGAATGCCCCAGTGGCACCCATCTCGGAACACCCCTCACACGCTCCGTGGTCCTATGGGGAGTTCCACTGAAGATGAAACCCGCAGCTGCGGTACTGACAACTGCCTGCATATGGTTGGGTTCTTCGCCAGGCTAAGTTCTTCCCCCGTCCGCGCGGGGAGGGGAGGAGGAGCACCCCCTAAGTTTCTCGTCCCCTCTCGCGCGCCGGGTGACCCCCACCCCCTAGAACTCGGACGTTTCGCGTACTCTCTCTCTCTCTCTCTCTCTCTCTCTCTCTTCCGCGCACGGAGAAGGAAAGCCCCTCCCCCTCCAGAACTCATGTATTCTCTTCCCATGTCCGCGCGACGGAGAGGGAGCACACCCCCCCTGGAACTCAGATTTTTCGTTTGTCTTCCCCCTTCCGCGCGGGAGGAGGAGGAGCATCCCCCCCTGAACCCGGATGTCTTTTCTCTTGCCCAAGATGGCCAAAAGGCCCCCAGGACGGCCCAAGAGGCCTCCAAGGGAGCGCCCATCGAGGCCCGGGGAGGACGGAACGTTAGACCTGTCCGTCAGGTGTTTGACAGATGTTCGCATTCTCGCCTCTTCGAGCTTCCGTCCGCTCAAAGAGGTGCACCCCGTGCCCCCCCCCTCCCCTCTAAAACAGGGCTAGGATCGGGATAAATCGCTCCAGAGCGTTCCGGAGCGCTCTCAGAGCGTTCCGGAACGCTCTGGAGCGGCCGCGGCGCCCAATACATCCTCCAAACCCGCCGATTCTCAAAGATTTCGAGTTATCCCGATCCGATGTTGTCCCGATCTTCGCGTCGTTTTACCCTCCCCTCCCCTCTCCCCGGCACGGGAAGGAAAAGCCCCCCCCCCGCCCTCCCCCACGCACACGACAGAGAGACTCCGAAGCCCAAGAAACATTCACACCTGGAACAAGCGAGGAGACGTCTCCCCGGGTCCAGACGCACCAATCTGTCGAGCCGCGTCCAGCCGCGGCGACGAGGAGAGCCCCCGAAGGCGCAAGAACGTTGCAGACCTCGAGCAGGCGAGAAGACACCTCCCGGGGTCCAGACGCATCCACCGTAGACACGCGAACGCAATTTGACAAGCCTCCCTCGCCTCATCCGTCTCATCCTGCTCCACCTCGCCGTCGTCGTCGTCTTTATGATTTAACTCGATATGTGGGCAAGCCACAGAGGAAAGCACATCATTGAACATGAAATAATCGGCAGTGCTAATCTGAAGTATGGAGGTCTGCTACCCGAGGTGTAGCCGAATCACGATTCAGAGCTCTCTGGTGCGATGAGCTAGAAGAATTCGGGCGCAGGGTGTCATCGTCGTCGTCGTCCGCGTCCCCCCTCTCCTCCTCCTGCTCTTCTTCTACTTGGTGGATCCAGAGAAGCACACCGCTCCGAACCCCCCCCCCTTTCCAGCGCCAAGGGGGGGAAGGGGGGGGGGTCGACCCCCCCCTTCAAGGGAGGGGGGGGGTTCGGGACCCCCCCCCCCTTAAGGGGGGGAGGGGGGGGGGGGTTCTGGACCTCCCCCCCCCTTTAGTGTATTCAGGGAGATCCACTGGCGCACATTCTAAATCGGCCCTGCACTGCCCTTATCGCGCACACGCCACACAAAGGGAGGATGTAATGTTTGCATATGGTGAGGGGGTGTGGGCGAGCAGTGGTGGTGGAACCAGCGTGAACTTCCTTACCATCACCGCGATCTAATACTCCCGCCCTTGCGGGCTTCTCCGCTTTTCCGCTTCTTTTCACCCCTCTAGTCCCGCTTCGCCTGTATTCAGGTCGTAAGAGTTCGAGTTTTACGCAGTGCGTGACGTCCCCTCCACAAGAACGCAGAACCTGGACAGCCTATGCCCGATCCACGCACAAGAAGAAAGAGGAGGAGGTGGAATAGGAGGAGGAGGAGGAGGAGGAGGAGGAAGAGGAGGAGGGACAGGGAGAGGATGGAAAGGGAGGAAGCGACGGAGGCGGAGGCGGAGGAGGGCGGTGGCTTCGCAGTCCGTCGCGGACTCGTTGCGAAACGCGGGCCTGCCCCCGCGCCTCACTTGCCGAACAGGCCCCCGCCGCCACCGAAGAGGCCCCCGCCCGCGGCCGGCGCGGCGCCGAAGAGGCCTCCGCCCGAGGCCGGCGCGGCGCCGAAGAGGCCCCCGCCTGCACGGCCGGGGGCGGGCCTCCTCCCTAGCCACCTTCTCCTCCTCCTCCTACCTTCACTCCTCCTCCTCCTCCTCCTCTCCCCCTCCTCCTCACCTCCTCCTCCTCCTCCTCCTCCTCCTCCCCTCCTCCTCCCCTCACTCCTCCTCCTCCTCACCTGCCTCCTCCTGCAGCGTGCAAATCCTCCTCCTCCTCCTCCTCCTCCTCCTCCTCCTCCTCCTCCTCCCCCGCCAGCCACCGCGCGTTCGCGTCATGCAGACCAGTCGTGTTTCCTGACACCGCGGGGATCGTTCAGCCTTGAACAGTCGGCCGTGTCCGAAGCGTAACATCGTGCAGCATCGACCGTTTCTGGGTCGCCGTCGGCCTTCAACGTTGAACGCCACTAGCGGAGTTGCCGCCGGTCTCCACGACACGAGCCTACCGTAGCCAGACCCCCTGATATTGTTTTTTACCGTTATGTCCGGTACCAGTCGTTACCCGGGGGGGGCCCGGCAACTGTAACACTTTGGCGGGGAGGCATGCGAGAGTCACAGCATACCTTTGAGCAGCAATGTTTTCGGGCACCGGCATGTACAATATTCGGCTTGACCTAAGGAACGACAAATAAGGAACGAAGCCCCTTTTCTTTCCAAGTGAGTCCAGGAAGTCCGAAGGAACACCAGGAGGGCTCGGCGCAAAAAAGGCAGCGGCACGCATGCAAACCAAAGGAACGACCGAGCCCCTTCTGAAAAATACACCCTGCGAAATGCTTAAGAAATCATGGGTTAAGAAATTCATAGTCTCAGAAATTGAATGAAACCCAGAACTTCTATGAAAATCTGGGGGGTTACATTGAAAAGTTAAGAATAATCGAGACTCTGGACGAAAACTTAGGTTTTCTTAAGCATCGCCTAAGGTGTAAGTGTTCCTTATTCAAACCGGACCCTGTAAGGGGGGGGGTCCAGCACCCCCCCAACACACACACACACAACCGTCACCGTCACCCTGGTGAGATTTTGAAGCCGCGACGGCAGGATTTTGGCAAGTCTCGGCCCGGGGGCGCCCTCGGGCGGCCCCGGTGCCATGGAGAAGCTGCTCGGGGCGACGCGCTGGGATGGTGAAGGGGGAACGCTACAGTCGGGGCGTTGACCTCAGGAACCCCAAATAAGGAACGAGGCTCCTTTTTTCCATAAGGTAACCTCTGATTCCCCGTCGAAAACATAGGGAAAGCCTGAGGCAAGCTGTCAAACCTTCAAGGAACACCGAGCCCCTCCCCAACGAAAAGGGTTCCTTCTTCAGGGCCCCGACTGTAGAAGGGACCACATCGCCGCCAGATCGGCGATGGGCCCCGATAGAGGAACCGCAGATTCCTGGCCCGGGGTGGGCTATCAGGCCCCTATCGGCGACCCAGGGGCGATTCGGGATCGATGTACGCCCCCCTATCGTTGAAGGATGGAGGAGGAGGAGGAGGAGGAGGAGGAGGAGGAGGAGGAGGAGGAGGAGGAGGAGGAGGAGGAGGAGGAGGAGCGATAGGATCATCAAGGCCTGTTTAATTATCTGTCCCACAGATCGTTGCCCCTGAAGGTCGACGGTGCCAACTGCGGCAGGCTCCTGTCATGGTGACCTTTGCGCTGCCTTCTGGCCCTGAGTAGATCCCTCAACTTTGAACGATCGCAGCTTCCCGAGTGCGCAGATGGCTCGACATCGGCCGAGTCTAAGCCACTGCTGGCCTTCAGCCATACACGCCAGCGCTCGGGGTGGTCGCCGCGTCGTCGACACGGAACGAGCCTGCCGCAGCCAGACATCTGGCGCTCCGATGTGTTCAATGCGTGGGCCCCCAAACCTGTTTTTGTGTTCGGACTCTCGGCGCTCGAATGGAGCCCGCTAGTCCGCGAGGATGCTCAGTACTGCACCGTGAACTTTGCCCCGGCCTTGCAGCCCTGCGGCACCAACGCATGCAGCAGCTTGCCGTCCGGCGCCTTGACCTGCAGGACCGTGCCCTGCGCGCCCTTCGGACACACCACCTGGAAGGTGCGGGACGGGTCGGTTGGGGCCGCGTCCTTCCTCCTGTACGTGATGATCCAGTTGGGGTACACCTGTTCCTTGTCGAACACGACGAACTCGCGGAACGTGCCGCGGGCCTTCCTCCGGTCCCCGAGCACGGAGTGGAACCTGCCCTTGACGCAGGCGTCCTCGCATTCGCGGGGGTTGGTGGCCACCGCGTCGGAGTAGAGCACCCGCCCCAGGACGGCCCGGCAGAGCAGCAGGTGTCGCTCGCCGCCTGCCCCGGGCCGCGTGTACTCGTCGCTCTTGCTGCCGTTTTCGGCCAGGTACACCCCGCGCCCATACAGCGTGCCAGCGTTGGAGCCAGCGAGATTCGTTCTCAGATTCTCGGTGGTGATCTTGCTGGCGGCGATGGCGCTGGTGCCGTGGAACAGGAACACCTCGTTGCAGTCCGCCCGCATCGGCTCCCCGAAGTCCGTCGCGAGGGCCTCCACGATGCTCTCCATGGGCTCGCCGGGCCTCACGTCCGCGACATCGGTCGAGACCATCGTGTCCACCGGGTGCACCTGGAAGTCGGCGGGGTCAGCCTCGATCTCGCGGCGGACGCCCTCCCGGCGGGCCATGTACTCCCCCCACAGCTGGTCGTTGGTCACCGTGGTGACGCTCACCACCTCCAGCCGCTCCGGCACCGCCTGCCCCATGCGGTCCCGCGTGTACACCGTTCGGTGAGTCGCGTCGAGCAGCCGCTGGAACTTGGCAATGACCGCCGGGTCGCTCACCGGGAGCTTGGCGACCGCGAACTTCCCCTCCCGCTGAAGCACCATCTTGGCCACATCCCACCCCTCGGGCAGCTTGCGCACCCTCTTGTACAGGTCCACCGCCTCCGCGAACTCGGGGAGGTCGGTGGCCTTCAGCCGCTCGGCGGCGACCAGCGCGCCCTTGAGCTGCTTGTCCGCCTCGGAGGCGATGGCGTCCGCCAGCTGCCGCTGGGCCACCTTTGGAGGGGCCCCAGGACACACAAATAGATACACACAAATAAAAATATTCCCCATATTTTCGCATATTTTCTGGGTTTCTGTCTTCCCCCCCACTTCCCATATTTTCCCATATTTTCTGGGGAATCGAGGATTAATTGTGTCTGTGTGTTTCTTTTCCTCCTGAACCTTCTGTGCAGCCTTCTGCATGGACTCCGGCACGCTGTTCGACTCCAGAAAGAAGGCCGGCCCCGCGCCGTCCAGCAGCCGGTTCAGCTGGGTGTAGTCGGTGCTCGCCAGGGCGGCGTCCATCTGCTTGCACACCGCGCTCTTCCAGTCCGCCCGGAAGTCTGTCACGAGGTCGGTCGCCTTCGCCCTCCACTCCTCGGGCGTTTTCCCCGTGTGCTTCTCGACGTGGGCCGAGGCCTTTGCCTCCAGGCTCGCCTTGAGGCGGTTCGACAGGCCGCTCGCAATGCCGTTCGACGCGTTCGACGCGTTCGACGCGTTGGTCGTGATCGGATCCGAAGACTTGCCGGTCGATGCGTCGGCGGCCACGCCGACGCCCGCGGGCTGCTCGGCGCCGGGGGCCGCGTCGGCAGCCGTTACCTTGATCTCCGTGCCCGCGTCCACTGGAGGCGCCGAGCACGCGGTGCCCATGCCGGCAGGACCCGGCGCGCCCCGCTGCCTGCGGGCAGGGCCCCGACGAGCCCCGAGCTCGAGCTCGGAGCCCTGCTGGCGCCCCCTGGGGCCGACCCGCGGCGGGAACGCCCGCGGGGGGCGGCGCGGCCCGCCGCCTGCCGCGCGACGGCGCAGCCTCCGCGCGCGCGCGCGAGCGGCGGCCCAGGCGACGGCTTGAGCCAAAGTGGCTACGGCGGCCCAGGCCAACACGGCGGCCCAGGCCAGCACGGCGGCCCAGGCCAGTACGACGCGGGGCCCCAAGCCTATCGACCCCGTCTCCAAGGCCTGATGTTTTTATGAACCTTTTTCGGGCTGATCTCTGACATTCCGCCTCGATTCTTTCGAGGCGCCGAATGTCTGGGCATCCCTCCTCCTACTTCCTCCTCCTCCTCCTCCTCCTCCTCCTCCTCCTCCTCCTCCTCATCCTCCTCCTCTCCTCCTCCGCCCTCCTCCTCCTCCTCCTCCTCCTCCTCCTCCTCCTGCTCCGCCTTCTCCACCTCTCCTCCTCCTCCTCCTCCTCCTCCTCCCCTCCTCCTCCTCCTCCCCTCCTCCTCCTCCTCCTCCTCCTCCTCCTCTCCTCTCCTCCTGCCTCCGCCCTCCGCCTTCCTCCGTCCTCCTCGACCTCCTCGCCTCCGCCGCGCCTCCCCTCCTCTCTTCCTCCTCTCCTCTTCTCTCCCTCTCCTCTCCCTCTCCCTCTCCCTCTCCATCATTCTCCTTCTTCTCATCTCCCTCCTCCCTCCCTAATCCCTCCCCTCCCCCCTCCCTGCCCCCCTCCCCTCCCCTCCCCTCCCCATCCCCTCCCTCCACTCCCTCCACTCCCTCCTCCTATCTCCTCCTCTCATACCTCCTCCTCCTCCTCCTCCTCCTCATCCTCCTCCTCCTGCTACTCCTCCTCACATGCCTGTCTCTGCTGCCTCCTCCTCCTCCTCCTGCCTCCTCGTCCCACCTGCCCTCTCTCCTATGCCCTCATCCCGTCTTTCCTTCCCCTCTCCTCCTCCTCCTCCTCCTCCTCCTCCTCCTCCTTTTATCTAACTCCTCCCTGTCGCACCCCGAGGCCTGTTTTTAGGGCGGGCCGGGCGTTTCGCCTGAGACTTCCTCGCCATCTATGACCCTGAAGCTTGAAACCTGAGAACAGTAGCTCTCGCCTTAGCACCGCGCATACTCGCTTTAAACATGTGCAAGAATTCCACGGAGTGCAGGCGGTTGGTTTTCAGAATTTGGCTCTCGCCTTAGCGCCGCGGACATTCGTTTTGAACATTTGCAAGAGCTTCACGGATTGAGGGCGGGTGGCTTTCAAAATGTGGCTCTCTCCTGAGGGCCGCGCAAATTCGTTTTAAACATTTGCGAGAGCTTCACGGATTGAGGGCGGGTCGTTTTCAAGATGTCGCTCTCGCATTAGCGCCGCGCACATTCGTTTTGAACATTTCCCAGAGTTTCACGAATTGCCCATGCTCCACGTACCAGAAATGGTGTTTTGAGAAGCATTCAGGCTATGCGGGTGCAACAGTTATTTTGATTCGCAATGCTTAAATCCCATAAAGGGTGCTCTCGCACGATTCCGGTCGTCAAGACGCAGCAGTCAGGTTGATACGTGGCGATGAAATCCGGAGAACAATGCTTTGTCATGCTTCAGGATCGTCAAAGTATTGTCTTCCAACGAGGCAGTTTCCTCAATGGAAATGAACCGTTGTGGGGGCCTATGAGCAGGGAGCTTGGAGGGAGGGTTAATTCCAACATCGTGAACGACTGTTGGTTTTACACTGGTATTCCTCATCTTCCTCCTCTTCCTCCTTCTCCTCCTCCTCCCTCCTCCTCTTCTTCAGTCTTACTTTTAGTATTACTCTTAGTCTTACTCCTAGTATCACTATGGTTTGGTCATTGTTATTAGACGTGTGACTCTTCTTATTAGTACTGGTATGATATGTTCTTCTTATTTGTCGTATCATTCCTCCTCCTCCTCGTCGTCATCCTCCTCCTCCTCGTCCTACTCCTCCTCCACCTCCTCCTCCTACATCCTCCTACCTCCTCCTACCTCCTCCTACCTCCTCCTACCTCCTCCTACCTCCTCCTACCTCCTCCTCCTCCTCCTCCTCCTCCTCCTCCTCTCCTCCTTCTCCTCCTTCTCCTCCCCTCCTCCTCCTCCTCCTGCTCCTCCTGCTCTCCTGCCTCCTCCTCCTCCTCCCCCTCTCCTCCTCCTCCTCCTACACCTCCTCCTCCTCCTCACTCTCCTCTCCCCCCCCCTCCCCCTCCCCTCCCCCCCCTCCCCCTCCTTCCTGCTCCTCCTCCTCCTCCTCCTCCTCCTCCGTCTCATAATGATCATCATCATCACATCATCATCCTTTCTCCTCTTCCTCCATCTCCCTCCTTCTCCTCCTCCTTCTTCTCCTCCTCCTCTTCGTCATTCTTCTTCTCTCCCTCCTCCTCCTCCTCCTGACATCGGTCTCGTCGTCGTCTCCTCCTCCTCCTCCTCCTCCTCCTCCTCGTCCTTCCCTCCTCCTCCTCCTCCCCCCCTCCTCCTCCCCCTCCCCCTCCCCCTCCTCCTTCTCCTCCTCCTCCTCCTGATCCTCCTCCTCCTCCAGTTATTTTCCTCAGATCCCCTCCTTGTCGCACCCCGAGGCCAGTTTTTAGACCGGGCCGGGCATTCCACCTGCGACTTCCCCATCATGTATTACTCTGAAGCTTGAGGAAGGACAACCGTTTCACAGATGGAGGGCGGTTCGCTTTGAAAATGTGGCTCTCGCCTTAGCGCCGCGTACATTCGTTTTGAAAGTTGGCAAGAGCTTCACGGATTGAGGGCGGGTCGTTTTCAAAATGTGGCTCTCGCCCTAGCGCCACGCGCATTCGTCTTAAACAATTGCAAGGGTTTCACGGATTGACGGCAGGTCGTTTTCAAAGTGTGGCTCTCGCCTTAGCGCCACGCGCAGTCGTTTCAAAATTTGCAAGAGCTTCACGGATTGAGGGCGGTTCCTTTTCAAACTGTGGCTCTCGCCTTAGCGCCGCGACCACCACCTTCAAACATTTGAAAAGCTTCACGGCGGTTCCTTTTCGAAATGTGGCTCTCGCCTTAGCGCCGCGCACACTCGTTCTAAACCATTCGCAAGAGTTTCACGGGTTCCCATGATCGGCGCACCAGAAATTGTGCTTTGGAAGGATTCAGGATTATGCGGGCGCAACAGTTATGTTGATTCGCTGTGTTGAAGTCCCAAACATTGCGTTCTGGCACGGTTCTGGATCGTCAAACTGTTGTCTTCCAACGAGGCAGTTCCCTCAATGGAAATGAACTGTTGTGGGGGCCTATGAAGAAGGAACATGGAAGGAGGGTCAATTCCAACATCGTTGACGGCTATTGGGTTTCCACTGGTCCTTCTCCTCCTCCTCCTTCTCTTCCTCTTCCTCCTCCTCCTCATCATCCTCATCATAATCATCATCACCAGCATCAACATCATCATCAGGATCACCAGCAGTATCACCAGCATCATCGTCATCACCATCACCATCACCATCATCATCATCATCACCACCACCATCATCATCATCAGCATCACCGTTTTCATCATGTCGTCATCATCAGCATCATTATCGTGCATCGCCATCATCAGCATCATCATCAACAACGTCATCATCACAATCATCACCATCGTGATCACCATCGTCACCATCATCATCATCACCATCATCATCACATCACCATCACCATAACCATCGTCATCAGCATAATACGCCGACCCCTTGGGGTCACGGCGTGTGAGATGCTTCCCCCTCCCCAAACCCCTCCCCCAGGGGCCTGGTCCGGCCAGTTTGTTGGGGGTGAACGGGGTGGGGGGCAAAAGTTGCGGCCGCACACTTGGAGCCTCAGGAGGCCCCCAAAACGGGCCGAAAATATTCAAAAGGGTCCCGGAACGGTCCAAGGGAGCTACGAGTCGACGAAAAATCGTTCCAAAACGCCGAAGATTGCCTCCAGTCGGCCCCATGAGCCCCCAAAATTTTCGGTTCTGTGCTACGGGTGGCTCCGCGAAGGCCGTCCACAAGCAAGAATCGTCCCATTCCCCGGGAAAACGTACATTTACAGCACATTCGCCTTTTGGGCTTCCACGCGGCCCACAACGGTCCAAGAAGCCTCCAATGCCGACCCTCCGCAGCCCAGGAGGCTCCCAAAAAGGCCCCACGACGGCTTCCTGGCGATTCATCAAGACTTCAAAAAACCATACCAACGACCCGGGAGAGAGCAGGACGGTCCCAAGAGGGTCCCGAAACAGGTCAACAGGGTCCCCAAAGGCTGCCCAGACGGCCCACGCGGGGGACGATTCGGTCCAAACCGCCCAAGATTGCTCTTGGGCTTCCACGAAGCCTACAACGGCCCAATAAACCTCCAAGTTCGACCCCTGACACCCCATGAGGCTCTCAAGAAGGCTCCACGACAGCTTACGGGCGCACCACGAAGGCCTCAGAAACCACAGCAACGGCCCAGGACAGTCGCAGGACGGCCCCACGAGAGCCCCACAACGGGCCAAGGAGGTCCCCAAACGCCTTCTGGACGGCCCACGAGGGGGACGATTCTGTCCAAACCGCCCCAGCTTGCCTGTAGACGATTCCCCATAGGCCCCCGAGACGTTTGAAAAAAACTACTACGAGGCGTTCCACGAAAGCCTCCATAAGCAAGAATAATCCCATTCCAAAGGGGAAATATACATTTTCAGCACATTCGCCTCTTGGGCTTCCGCGCGGCCTACAACGGCCCAAGAAGCATCCAACATCGACCCCCTACAGCTCCAGAGGCTTTTGAAAGGGGTCCAAGACGAAGGCCCCAGAAACCATAGCAACGTTCCTGGAGAGCCGCAGGACGGTCCCAAGAGGGCCCCAAGACGGGCCAATAGGGTTCTTAAAACGCCCCCTGGTCGGCCCAAGTCGTTTCACAATGCCTCAAGTCGTCCAGCATTGCCTCCCGACAGCCCTACAGGCCCCCAAGACGCCTCGAGACGCTACCCAGAGCCGTCCCAAGAAGCCTTCCAGAAGCAACAACCGTCCCGTTCTCGATGGACAACAAACATTTCCAACACGTTCGCC